TTAATTTTATATTAGATTAGGTTTTATAACCTTCAGAATAATAATGAAGGTTTAAAAGGGGCTCAGAACTTTTGTGACTCATTAGTTTAGGTAAAATCGATTAATGATACTTTTGAGCTCATTTAAAGAAAAACCTAGCTTGTAGGTATTTAAAATAAACAAATTAATATAATAATAATACTTTACTGCAAAATTATTTATTATGGTCTTATGTTGGTTTATTTTGTTTGTCCTTCTAGTTACAGTTCTAAATGCTTTTAATAATTTTATAAATTAACCAGCATATTTTTGACATGTTTTCAGGTGTCAGTCAATATTTAGTCGTTTTTCATTCGATGCAGCGTTATAAAATTAAAATACAAAACACACTCATTGTTTTCTCTATTATTTTTAAATTACCTTTGAAATACCATTAACCTCTGAAGCTAAAATCTAGACAAAATTACCTTTTTTTTGTATGTATAAAACAACGCGTCATTGGCGTTAAAGCTATCAAGAAAGTAATTCGTTGAAAATAAACTGAAAAAAAAAAGAATAATGTGTTTACGTGGTGTGCTGGATAATAATGAGGGGTAGAAAGGGGTGCTACCCTGTAACAGTAAAACCCACGATTTTCATTTATGCTGCACGCAATGGTCAATTTGACCTATTTAACGGACCTTTGACTGAACAGTATATTTTATTACTGGAGAATTATATATATGTGCGTGTGTGTGTGTGTGTGTGTGTTAGTGTATGATAGAAACACAAAAACGCGTTTGCCACGGATAGGTACATATTTCTATAAACATTTTAACAAAAGGGCACATACTTGTTATTAAGGACAGCGAGGCCATCAAGATTATGGTGTAAGATCGCTTCATAATGGCGGGATTGACGAAAGTGACCTGGAAAATAATAAATGCAAATAGTGAATTAGGTAAAATAAATCACGTATACTTAAAATAATGATAAAATTAAATTTAAAAAAATTATTAGAACGATAGCCTTGGACTTTTGAGATTGATGTGTATGAAATTATAATGTATAATATATAAGACAAGAATTTGTAGGTGATTTTAATATGTTGACGGTGAATAAACGATACGGGACCGGGTGGCAGTATTGTACTAAACATTTTCCACCCGTTCCCGGTTTTTTGAACGGAAAAAAAAGGTGATTTTAATATTATCATTCGRTGAAATTTTACATCGACTAGTGTAATATTACAATAATCACACGAGGGTGAATATATAGAAGTATTGGAATCAGAAACAAAATGTGTAAGCCATGTTCATATTGATAAATTATCTATACAGTTAAMTTATCCAAATTACAAAGGTAAACATCAAATTAAACATAGGAAATATGTTGTAGAAACATTTAATGGTTTTATACTTTAATAATAATAATATTAAGATATTACCTACATAGTATTAATGAAATAAATATAATGTGATATTTATTACAGGTAATAATAGTAATAATTCTGAAATAGTATTGTTTACATATTTCTTGATAAAATAATATGATGTAGGTACCTAYAGAAAGACACGAACAATCCTCTATATGATCCATGTGCTAATGAAAAAAGTTTTTGAACTAATTTAAGTTAGCATTTCTTACCATATTAATTTTAAGTTTACGAGTTAAATTTATTATTTGTTAACTATTCGCTTTTAACTTCAGAACCTTGTGATTACTCAACTTAGTTGATAATAATTTTCATTAATTTCATTAACCAACGGTGAATTTTTAAGTTACATAATATAGGTATAAGGAGTTGAAATAGTCAAGTATAGTAGGCATAGTTGTTTTTAGTTTGCATGTTGATGTAGTAGGTAYCTATTATCATCATTCTATGTTTATCTGCTTGTTCTATATAAAAGCCAAAACGTGTGCATGCGATTATCATGCAAATATATTGCTTTGATTATACGATAATTTATAGTTTTATGGTTAATTTTATAAAAAAAATTTTTTTGCAATAAATTTTGTTGTTACACTCTACATACTCTAACTTTTAAGACTAATATAATACAATATTTTGTTTGYCTAATTYTAAATGTAATTTTCGAGTAAGAAATCTCTTGTGGAGTAATATTTTAAGTATTTGGTAGTCATAAAATGTATGACATTTAATGTAATATACAATTTAAGTCTTCCCCAGAAATATAATAATATACCATTAAGTATTAAGAAAAAACGTGATAATTGCCTTAAAAAAACTTAATTGTGACTATATAAATGTATTTAGGATARTTCAGTGTTTTTTATTCACGTCGTCAACCACCATTGCAATTATGAGATTGATATAATGAAATCGAACAGAATCTTAGCAGAAATTGCTAGGTTGCTTGATGATTATATTATAGTCTTATTGATGGTTATATATATATATATATAATAATAATATATTATTATATTATAATAACAGTAATGTAATATATAAATCATAAATATGAAACTTTATTTTTGATCTTAAATAAGCAACTAAAAAACCAATACAGCTGAACATTAATATAAAATATACACCCTTAAACTGGCCTCGAATAGTGACTCAGACACGAGACACATTCCAATGGGCCACACACTACATATATGTCACCCTATTATATCACCCTATTATATCACCCGATGAAATCATGAAACAAAAAAATATTAGACCACATAAAAATACCAAACATTCTTAAACAACAAGGTCAAACTAAAACATTAAACAAATTCACACACCCCTATATCGACCATGACCACAAAACGGATATCATTTGCTTCAAGTATCGACTAAAAATTGGGAAATTAAGTGACCATTAATTCTAAACATACAAATATATAGTARAGCCCAAAAATTCCCAGTCGTCGACACTYCGTTTTTCAACAAACTAATTAACTCAACTTATGTGTACTKTACGCTCTCTTTCTCTCACTCTCTCTCTCTCTCTATCTCTCTTGATATATCAATCTATMTTATTTCATTTTATTCTTATATTATTGCGATTTGCATATAACACTCGAATTACTAAATCTCTTGAACGTATGGTTACATTGTCACTATAATATTATTGAAGTCATATTTCGTTTATCRGATACTATTTATCCTATGGCTTATCAAAAGTCTATTATTTAATTTAGCTACCTACGTAAAATCTTTTATCAGTCATTCTAACGTTAAAATATTAACTATGTTTAAGATTAAGGTACCATTCATCAAAATCAGATACTTTGCGATAAAATATTTCAAGATTACGGTATTCCAGAATCATCCCAACACATGAATGCGTTAATACGCATAACAATATGTTATAATTTTCGTTCATATATAACCTAATAATTTCAATAATCTCATCTCTTTTAATTTAATCACATGCGAAAAAGGTAAACACACAGTCAATAATGATAGGCATAATATAATATAGTACTCTCGGACAACGGACCAAATCTCATCGGCGCATCAGCTTCTGAATTCTCGGATCAATTGAAGATGCAACAACAAGTGTCTTAAAGGTAAGTATAATATATTCACATTTTATGTAAATATGAATAATAATATATAAGAATAATATCAAAACAGAAGTATAATAACGTACACCTAAAGTCTTAACATACATATAATACACGCACATACATGTATGTATCTATAGTATATACGAAAAGGTAGTTTGAAAATTTTAAAAAGTTATTTAAAAATTATTTAACCACTAACAACTTATGAATCCCACTTTTTATAAATCAGTAAAAAAATGCTTAGGTCGGGTAGTGTAAAAATATTAAATGTGAGTCAAGGAAAAAAGTTCAAGTCATCTCTACTAGATAGGTACCTATATAATTATCCAATACAAAATTATAAAAATTTTGTTCAGGTACCAGAGTAATGTGCTGACGGAGCTCGTAAAACCTAAATAGTATAAATCATAAAAATATTATTCGGGGTCTTAATCGATGTGGTTGTCAAAAACATTCAATTTATTCCATTTTGTTTCGAAAAATAATAACGACAGCCAATTGTATTTATATTCATAAATAAATAAATTTTATTTTTTAGAATGTTGTACTTAAAATATTATATAACATAACAGGTACTACCTGCAGTCTATCTTTAAGGGTGTGTATAATACAACATACGTAATATCAGCCAATAATAAACGTTTTTTGAAAACAATCAAATTATTAACTACCTACCTACCTATCTTATTTAGTCGTGTTCCATTTTACATAATCTTTTTCAGAGACATTTTWATTATTTAGGATTTTTTTGAGCTTAATCGATTATTATGCTACGTGTTCACTTTATATTCAACTGGACCTATAAAATATTATTATACATGCTGTTATTGAACGTGTAAATAATATAATGTTTTATAATTTTTCAAAACTATTTAAATACTCTTAATATTATAGACTATAGTCATTATACTCATAGTAATAATGTGTACGTYCTAATATATAACGTCATATTATACAGAATGAAATATTATGAAGCAGCTATTATTTATATCTAATTATAGCGATGATAACCATGACGTTGAATTTCATATTGAAAATAAATTGCTTACAATAAAATACAAAATTTTGTTTATGGCACTGAAAATGAAAATTATGTTTGAATTATAGGTTACCGAAAGCAATGCACGTATTCGTGGTGGCCTTCGTTCCAAACCAAACGCGATTCCCTGAAGTACTTTTGGTCGTTCAGTGAACGGGTGCGATGCCCCTAGTTGTTTAAAATATCATATATTATGGTTAATCATAACCTCAGAAAACAGTCCCATAAGTATAATTATTTTATTTATAGATTTAGCATATAATTAATTAATTACTACGATTTTTCAGTATAATATTTAAGGACTGCCATAATGACAAATACAAGAGTTTTCTACTCGTCGAAAAAGAAATCTACTTAATCTAAAAATGTATAATTATTTTATTTATAGATTTAGCATATAATTAATTAATTACTACGATTTTTCAGTATAATATTTAAGGACTGCCATAATGACAAATACAAGAGTTTTCTACTCGTCGAAAAAGAAATCAATTATAGTAATATTAAAGGTATAATTTAACGCGTTATATAACAAGATCTAATAATCATAAGAAAAATATATTATACATTTTTAGATTAAGTAGATTTCGATATAGCTTGTGTAGTTATAAATAAAAGTTCTGTTGATCGCAAAATATTCACTAATAAACAAAAAATGAATAGTAACAAATCGTAAGTTTAAAACAATTTTCAAATAGTTAAACGATTAACATGTTAAAATCGTTTGTCTCTTCTCATAATAAAATATAAATCATGAAAAATATTTATATCATAACCAAGTWATACATTTAAATAGACAAAAAATGAGGTCCTATTTTGATTTATGATATATTATTCGACATTATCCAGATTATAATGTAATAATTAATAATTCGTGTGTACCTAATTGACAATAAATAGGCAACACAATGTACGTGCGTATATTGAATATTAGTAGGTACTTTCCAACAATAACATTATTATATCCTCCGATTTAAGATATTGACGTTGYCGAAATATAATGAATAGTTTTAAATCAGCTAAGTGAAACGAGTKAATAATATARTTAATCAAATTTTTAAGAAGAAAATATTTATTCTTACAATATTATTTGACCATATAGGCACTTTCACTCAATAAAACTTATATCGTTGTAATTTTATGAAAATAATACATATTTTGTATAAGTAGTAGGCATACAATTTTAGATTACTAATTATATCATTTAGTTTACATTGAAGTTCCATAATTTTCATATAARCATGTAAATTTTAAGTATAGAAAACTAAATTTAAGGTAATAGAAATTTAGTATGAATTTATTATGTATAGATATTTTTTAAACTTCAATAAATAACTAAAAATTGTTTAATTAACTTAA